TTTAAATTTTTAAATTATAATAAAAATAAAAAAAAACATCTAGTAATACTAGTTTCTATAATTATCATCACATGACGGCCACTGCAAAAAAAAAAGAAGAAACCATTTTCAATTAAATCGACCTAGCTTGTTAAAATGTAAAATTAACTCCAACCAAGAGTTGTCGTGGTCAATCAAACGATTTTAACACACTTAACATTAATAATAAAAACAAAATAAATTAGTAATCTAATAACATGGAATGTGCATCTTGATAAATTAACAAATATTTTTTTTTTTATTAAACCCTTATAAATGTTTAAAAAAAAAAAATTGAAATTGTTTATAAAAATTTTAAGCTTGGGCGCTTGAAATTTTTGACTTTGCGACCTAATCGATAGGTATAATTTTTAAATTATAATGATTTAATTAAGTAAATTGGACTGAAAAAAATAAAGATTAAGATTGGTGTGCATATTGGAAATCATATGATAATTACAAACAAATTACTTATAAGTTATGACTATAAAATTGTTACTAGAAGTCTAAATATGACTAGACATCAAAACAAATAGACTTGATAACTTATTTAAACTGAATAAGAATTAGAAYATTAGAATTTCATTTCCAGATTCTTTATCCATTTTTTTTTATGTCGTGAAATAAAAATATTGATTTTATTACATAAAATAYTTAATGTAATCAAAATTGCTTCAATAAAAAAAACATTTATTACATAAAAAGTACAAAATACTATAAGCAATTATTAAGGTATTAAATGATAATAGTTACATTCAATGGTTATAAATCTAGAAGCCTAATTTTTGGTTTGTTTTCACTAGGTATAAATTATATTTAAAACATTTTTTTAAATAACATTACATAATTAAGTTAATTATAAGATCAAGTATTATTAAGGGTCTGAATAAAACTATTTAAATCATATTCATCATCATAAATTTTGGTATCCCAGAGTTCTGGCAAAGTTTCAAGAACAGATTTTATTGAACTGCCTGAAGAATTGGTTCTATTTTTTTCTTTTGACGTATCATCCARTGAGAATAAATCTAATAACTGAGAARCAAAAAGGGTATTAATCAGTATATTTTAGTATTTTTAAACAAAATATTGGTCATTACTTTATCAGTTCCCATTGTTTGAAGACTTGAATTTTCAGAAGATATTACTGTGTTGGCAGTCTTTAGCTTAAACTTTTGAAAGCTAAAATAAAAAACATAAATATTAAATAATGTATCGGTTAATGTTTTTAATTTTAATATTGCATTTATCACAATACATACTTCATTATTTTTTCTTCTAGTGTTGATCTTGTAATTAAACGATATACATTGACTACCTTTTTCTGACCAATACGATGTGCTCGATCCATTGCTTGTAGGTCTCTCATAGGACTCCAATCATGTTCTACAAAAATTACCTACAGTAAATAATTATCATATTAGGTACATTATTAGTATTGATTTTAAAATAACTTTTAAGTAGTGAATATATCACTCAACATACAGTATCAGCTCCAGTTAAATTAAGACCCAATCCGCCAACTTGAGTGGTCATTATAAGAGTATCAATAGATGGATCAACATTAAAACGATTGACAAGTGCATATCGTTGTGAAACAGGTACACTTCCATCAAGGCGAAGGTAAGTTACATTAGGCATATGAGCCCTAATATAAAAAATCGATTTTAATAATTTAATTCAATATAGAGTTAAAAATAAATAACTTACTTAAAGAGATCATTTTCAATAATATTTAACATGGACTTTAGTTGACAGAATATTAAAGCTCTGTGTTGACTTATCACGGTTTCATCATTACTTACTAATCCGATACCACAGTCCATTAAAAGTTGTCTAAAACAATAATAATAAAAACAATAACAATAATTCATAGAATAAGAAGTACATAAACAAAAACTTTAATTATTCACTTTAAAGCTGGTAATTTAGCAGCATGATGAATATCGGTAAGACTAGAATTAGATTCTGAAATTTGCTTAATTATATTAGAATACTGAGGATGTTGTGGAGTAAGTACTAATTTTGGATGATTGCATACATTTTGTAAATAACGTAGCGCCTATAAAAAAGATAAATTAATATTAAATAGTTGCGTAAATAAATATCTAAGATAACTAAATAACTTACCTGAAGAATATTATTTTTATTAGGAGGATTATTAACTGATTTTTCTCCAGATTCAGTTTCCGATAAATGTTTATGTATATGTGTTTTTGAAAAATCCTCATAAAGTTGTTGTTGAATAGGACTCAAATCACAATAATAATCCTAAACATAWAATTGTATTTATTAAGATTATAYATATTATTTTAAAAATTTTTTTTACCTGAGTAATTTTAGCTGGCAAATCACTTAAAACATCTTCTTTCATTCTACGCAAAACAAATGGTAAAACTTGACGATGCAAAGCTTCCATAGCTAAAACACCTATGAAATTAATTATTTAATTATAAATAATACACAGATTAATTTTATGATTTTAAATTTGGAAATTTTACACACCAGTTTCTTGTTCCTTTGATGAACATTTTGAATCACGACTAGCTAAAATTGGTTTGCTATATTTTGCGACAAATTGTTTTTCTGTACCTAAAAACCCAGGCATTAAAAAATCAAATAATGACCATAATTCCAAAACGCTATTTTGAATTGGTGTGCCAGATAAAACTAAACGATGGTTTGCCTTCAATTGTTTAATAGCTTGACTTGCTTTAGTCTTTCCATTTTTTATTATATGGCATTCATCTAATATGCAATAATTGAATTTTATTTTTGAAAAAAATTCAATATCCTTACGAACAATATCATAAGATACTATAAATAAATTATAGTCATCGGCATAAGCTCTTAATCTGAAATAAAATATTCCAATCATTAAAAAAAATATATTTATTATACCTATAATACTGTATTCAGTTAAATAATTAAATATGTTTATATTAAAACTATACATTTAATACGTACACTGTTCAATAATAACAAAACAAATAAAAATAATTATTTACTTTTGCCTTTCAACAGGTAGACCAGAATATTGTAAYGGYCTTAATATATTTTTCGGAATAAACTTTTGTACTTCATGAGTCCAATGTCCAATCAATGTAGGAGGACATACAACTATAGATGGTAAAGGAACTGAATCTGGACTACCGGTTTCCTAAAGTATTTTTTTTTTTAATATAGCAATTTGATAAAATTTAATAATACATTACTCATTTATTACCTTAAACTTTTCGCTTTTATTGTAATGATCACTAGCAAGTATACATAATGATTGTATAGTTTTTCCTAAGCCCATGTCGTCACATAAAATTCCATGTAACTTATATTTATTCAAAAAAGCTAACCAATTTACTCCTGTCTGTTGATAAGATCTTAATTTAGCATTAATCATAATTGGTACTTTGAAATCACTTATTTGATTAGGATTAAAAAGTTGGTCTAAAAACTGTCTTTGTGATTGAATTAATTGATTGGTTTTATCACTTAAATTTGGAGGAACAGGTACACTGCCATCGAGGGGCATTAATTGAATAAGAGTTGCAAAACATTGTGAAGACATTTTACGAACRCTTTCTTCTTGATCACATAATCGTCCTAATACAATAATACAATTACTAAAGAATATTCAAATTGTCTTAATATAATAGAATTAATTTAATTTACCTAAAAGTGGGATGATTAATAAGACAATGTAAGGAACAATGTCAAATTGTAACTTATCGACAATACACACCACTGCTTCAATAGCTCCTTTTCGTTTAACATCACTGTCAGGAGCATCAAGAAGAGGTAAGACATCATTAATAATAGTTGTCATTGTAATTCCAGGATTTAGCTCAACAGATGCAGCTAAACAGCGTGCACTTAGATGTCTAATAGCAGAATATGGATGAATAAGAAGCTTGGAGAAAATTGGTAACAACTCCAGAAGCTAGAAAAACAAATAATTAGTTTCCACGTTTAATAATAACATAATATAATTTTAAGAGCCAATGAAGATTACACTTTATTTTAAAAGCAATAGATACTTTGATTCTGAGCAAATCAATGAAAATATTARTTTTATTTAGTGTCATATTTTTGAAACAATAATGTTTCAATTTTTGACTTGGCAATAGTAGTATTTACATGGTACTTTGGAGTGTCAAAACAAGTACTTTCCAATATAATCAAGGTAAACAACTATGAGAAAATTGAC